TCGCATTAAAAGATATAATAAAATATTTACAAAAATGTGAGGGGTGTACTCACTTCTGTGAGATACTGTAAATACACACTCATAAAGTAAATATTTTAAAAAATATTTACATGTCTATATTAATATAATTTATATTAGAATAAATATATTTAATATATAAAAATAAATTTTTTCTTACATATATACATGCATGTTTGTGTATTTATATGCATACTAAATATACACAGTACACGTACATATATTATGTAAACAACAACTTATTTTGGATGCGATTAATCGTTTAACAGCACTAATGTTAATTTATGTATTCATTTTGAGAAATACTGAATCTGTTTTTGTTCAAGGAAGATGAGTAAGTGCATGTTGACATTTAGTCTAGAACTACAGCAAGCATCATGTTCACACAGAGTCTCTGCACTTACCCCTGATTTCTGTCAACATGAGCACAGGACAGCTGTCAGTCAGTAAATAAGCAAGTAACTGGCTTTACTTATTTGAAAAATTGTCAGATACTCTCAAACTCAAAAATATTTTCTTTAAATTTCTTCAGATAAATTCTTTAAATTAAAAAGTAATGTTATTTTGCTAGTTACTTGGGAAAAAAGTAATCTGATTACATAATGTGTTATTCCAAACTAGGCACGTGACGGTATCAAATTTTCATATATATATATATATATATATATATATATATGTATTTTTTCTCTATTGTATATATATATATATAAATGATTATTTTTTCAATGGTTTACTTAACAAATTGCGTTTCCTTTAAATAAATTCAATTGCAATTAAAATTTACTTGGGGACAAAATTATACATATATGCAAAATACGAGGGGACCATCGCAACTGGCCCACCTTTACAGGTCCTCTGCCCTGCACCAACTGTGAGCCAGTGGCATCCTTTTTCCTCTCCTTCTCTCCTCCTTTCAAGCACCAAGTCAAGGATTGGCTACATCTCTCAACTGTACAAGGGTTAGTGGTTACAGCCGGTCGTCAGATGGGCACCCCCCTTCCTTGGTGTTTCACCGATTTAAGCCCTTGACACCTCGGGAGGGCTCGACAGCAGATCCAGTGTCCTGGATCTTACCCTGCTGACCACCACCCTACTCTGTAGTTGTTCGTCCTTCAACAGGTTGGCTCTGCCACCGCACTTCCCGCTGTATCCAAATCCAATGAGATGCTGTTTCTGCCTGTTCGGTGACCTTGCCTACCAACTGTTTCCTGGCCTTCAATCCCTAGCAGCCCAAGGGTTCTCCAGAGTGACTGCCCAGCAAAACCCCTGCAGCCGACCTCTATTGGTAAATTCCAGGCCTTCCATCCATTTTGCTGGCTCCTGAGGATAAGGCCTTGATATTTCTTGAGCTTGTGCTCATGGGCCTCCTCCATCCTTTCTTCCCAGGGTACTGTTTACTGTATGAGCACCACCTGCTTGGTGCCTCTAGACCAGAGGACAAAATCCGGTCTGAGGCTAGTGTGTGCTATCTCCTCTGGGAATTTGAGCCACTTCTTCAGGTCTGCCCGCATCTCCCAATCATTTGCTGAGGCCAGGACCCCTCTACTCCTCCATCCTGCTGCAGTGCTCTCTCCTGTCCTGACGAACTGGATAAAATGGTGCCCGTCGGGAAGTTGTTTAACCTTCTTCCTTGCCTGTTCCACACCATCCGCCAACTGAGACCGGATCTTATCATGACGCTACCGGAATTTCCCATCTGCCAAATTTGACTGGCATGCTTAGAGGACATGTCAAGGTTGGCTTGCTTTCCACATAATGTGCAGCTGGGGCTCTCTGCCATCCCCCAAATATGGAGGTTTGATGGAGTAGGCAGAACATCATAGACAGAACACATCAAGAACTTTATCTGGCGTCCTTCCATGGTCCAAATATCCTGCCATGTCAGGGCCCTTTCTCGTACACCCTCCCACCTTGTCCAGCTGCCCTGTTTTTTCATGGCAACAGCCTTGACATGCCGGGTTTCCTCCTCCTGCCTTACGGACCTCCCTCTGTATCATGCTGCGGCGTTCCTTTGGGTCAGCTTTGTTCCAGATTTTTCTGGTGAAGCAACCCAGTCCAAGCCTGCCCTGAGCTACTGTCCCAATGATTTCGGCATGCTGCAGCTGATCCTCAGCCTTCGTCAGTGCTCTGCTGGCTGACCACTTACGACCTGTCCTGACCACAATGTCTGTCTGGCGTACTCTTTCATCCTTGCTGTCTCGCAGCATCATGACCTGGCGTGTCTTTGTTGCTTTATACTCCTCGAGCACTGATGTCACTGCCAGCTGAAGCTTGCTGCCTGTGCTGTACAGGCCAATGGAGCAGAAGCTTTTTGGGACACCCAGCCACCTTCTTAAATAGGTGTTAATCTTCCTCTCCAATCCCTTGACGGTAGAGACAGGTATCTCATAAACAAGCAGAGGACAGAGCAGTCTAGGAAGGTACCCCATGTTGGTAACCCCAAACCTTGTATTTGCCGGGTAGGCCGCTCTTCTCTAAGGATGTCATCCAGGTGTCTACTTGGTTAATCATCTCCCTCACACTCTGCTTATCGTTGAGGTCTGTCCTATACCTGAAGCGGAACTGGTCCTGAATGTGCCCCTTCCCCAATACCAGGCTTCTGGACTTTTCAGGTTTAAACTCTATCCTTGCCCAATCGGTGAGTTCCACCAGAACCTCCAAAATCCATCTGCCTTCAGGTACTGATTTTGCCGTGATGGTGAGGTCATCCATAAATGCTCTTATAGGTGCCTGCTGGATGCCATTGGCCAACACTCTACCCCGCCGCAACTTCTCTGCTGACTTAATGAGAAGGTTCATCGCTGCCGAAAACAAGATCACTGAAATCGTGCAGCCAGTGACAATGCCAACCTCTAGCCTCTGCCATTCGGTGGTGAAATCTCCACAGGTGAAGCGCATGTAGAAGTTGTCATAGTAGCACTGCAAGATCTTCTGGAAACGCTCTGGGACATGGTAGGTTTTCAACGTCAAATCCACCAACTTATGAGGTATCGTCCCATACGCATTGGTTAAATCCAGCCACAGAATTGCCAGGTCATCACGGTTCTTCTTTGCATCTTCGATGATCTTAGTGATTATGCTGGTGTGCTCAAGACAGCCAACTCCCCCCTTTTGGACGGACATATCCATGTACCCACTGTCCAGCATAAAGGAGGTCAGCCTCTTCGCCAGAATCCCAAGAAAAATCTTGCCTTTGACGTTGAGGAGTGAGATGGTACGGAATTGCTTGATTTTCTTCCTTAGGGATGAAGCATCCCTCAGCGACCAGCCAACTGTCAGCGAGGAAATCCTTCTTCCATGCCACTCTCAGTAGCTTCCAAAGTCGTCTTCTGAGCCTTTCACAATATTTATACACCTTGTACAGAATGCCATTGGGCCCTGGGGCTGATTTTGCTCTGGCCTTCCTGAGAAAAGTGTTAAACTCTTGCCAGCTCGGTTCCTCAGCTCTGAAGGGGGATAGTTGGTTCTGTTGGTTTAATGAGTTACCTAAACTATAGGGAGCCCTTTTACATTACTATAAGGTTACAGTTGACAACAGAGCCCAAACTTAAATTCAGTTGCTATTTATTTTTAACTATAATAATCAACATTCAAATTTGTATGCAAACATGCAAACTGCACATAGTGCAGTTTTTAAATTAACTTCTAAATTATACAATTTCTTTTTGTTGTTCAAATATTATAATTTACACAGTGGCTGTCATAACTTGTTTCATAAAATATTTATTTAAACATGCATGAAATAATTAAGACATCACTAACAGGCAAAGTAAAATATGATGAAGTATAGTCTAATATTTTGTGAAATGCTCTTCTCTAGACTTTATTTCTCTAGCAAATAACGAGCTGTAGACATTGATGACTTACCTGAGGTAAATGAAATGCTACGTGACATTTTGTTTACAAGCTGTTTTAATGACTACTTTCCGCAATTGAAACACTGAGCTATTACATGAGATGTTCATTCATGTTTATTTCGCATTAAAACTAGTAGTAAAGATGAAGGGATGATCGCGCTCTGTGCTGCCTTTAGAACTAAGACTTCTATACAGCGATCTCTCGCCACATCAAAGAGCGCCAAAATGGCATTTATTGTCTGAATTCCCTGAAAAAATTGAGTGATTTGTTTGGCACACGTGTACTGAACCAAAAGACCCGTACCGAACATTTATGGTTCGAATGTGTGTACCGTTACACCCCTAATAATAATGTAAATCTTCTGAAGACATAGTATAGCTTTGTGCGAGGCTGCTCCATATTGCTGTTGACTGATAATCATCCACTCTGCCATAGCTCTTCAGCATATTCAATCACTCATGACATGCAAATTATTAAGTAATGACACATTTAGTTTTTAAAGACACATACATTTACATTTAACTTGTTTCATATAAAATTTACTGCAGCATATTAAAATTAGAACGATGCAATCAATTACACATCGTTGTCAGTGCATAATTTTTGAATCTTTATATGGAGTCTTTCACTGATGCTTACCCCCGTTTTTCACCATTGTTTTAGGTACCGTAGTGAAAAGATGACCATGAGCTACGCAGAATACATCGCCCACCGCCAGCATCATCACTACCAGAATGGCATCGGGCACCCTCTCCCTCCGTACAACCATTATTCCTGACAGCGAGCCGCATGACCAGTCACTGGACCTCTCGGCCTAGACATGCACATTTACGCAATACCCTGGAGTCTCGCTCTTCGTTTCCGTCGTTAAATGCTGTGGATGTTCGTATACATTGCCATTTTGAACGATGGCTGGCTTAACTAGCTGAACGCCGTCGCCTAAATATGGCCAAAACTACAGCGATAATGACGTGCTGAGTTTACTTTGCTAACAACATTTGTTCAAATATCATCGGTTCATTCGATTGCGAGCGACACTGTGTGCTGAAAGACACGTCGGTTCTTTCGTTTCTTTGTTTTTTTTGGTGTCAGATACGTCTGTACATTTAAGTTTTGCAAAATTGGTTTTTGTGAAAAGACTGCAACTGGATCAAAGTATTTTCATGATTCCTAGAGTAGTTTGAACATGCACTTTGAGGACATTCGCAATCCTAGGCACATTTGAACACTGTTGAAACTCTCAGTACCTGACCTGCATTTACGTTGCTCAAAGACAGGTTCAAAAACCAATTTCACGCTATGTCGTCTTTGAGTTTCTGTAATTTCTAACAACACAACTGGGATTAGTGTTTGGTATGTATAGCAAATGCTCATTTAGGCATAAATGTTGGGTTGGAACACCTACGGACGAGCTTCGCGCTCGCTGTCGAACCCACCGTCGTTTGGCTCATGTTACCTTTGTGTATTCAACCGAACCAAAGATGCCTCCAGCCATGTCCAAATGCTGCTCTACAGACCTGCCTTCCTGTCCTTCCAAAAACCTTCCCTGCAAGAGAAATGTCTTGTGTTTCTGTGTGTTTTTTTTTTCTTTTCTTTTGTACAATTTCTAATGTTGTTTTAGGATTTTAGCTACCTAAGTTCAATGAATTTTCATTGTAGCTGTCTTTGAGACCTTGCACGGTGTCAATGACCGTAATACTAGGTTGTACTTTTTTTTTTTAATTATTATTTTGTTTTCATCATTGTTGTTATTATTATATATTTTTGTAAAGAAAGAAAACCCCATAGCGTGCCTCTTAGATTTATGGGTTTCTTAATGTTTTTTTCCTAAGACCAGCAGTTATACTTTATACAAAAGATGAGTTAATCCTTATTTTTACATGCCATTTAAAGAAAAAAAAAATGCCTCTTTTCTTTACTCTGGACCCAGTAGCTGCACTGGCATACAATCACACTGATAGATATGGGGGGGAAAAAGTATAACTAATAATAATGATGATGATGATGATGATGATGATAAAAAAAATGTAAGAACTACAATAAATTTGTTTAAACTTTTTTTGTAAAAAATAAAAAATTTAAAAAAAAAGTAAACACAATGACTGTTTTTGTATATCGAGTTAATTCTTTTCAAAACAAAAACAATTTTGGACCTAGTTTCTAAATTATTTTAGTGGTTTTCAATGTCCTGGAACTTTGAGAAGATGAGTTTTGAACGTGCACGTCGATGACTGACAGCTTGCAGTGTTGTCATTGCGGGCACCAGGGTTGCCTGGTGTAGCCCCGAATGCCCACCACTTTTTGTTTCAGTTTTTCCATTTGGATTTTTCTTTTCAGAACTTAAAATTGTTAAAGTAACGACTTGGCAAAAAAAATAGAAAAACAACTCCCCTGTAGAACTAGATCCTTTACCCCATTGAATTGCTGTTAAGTGTGATGAGACTTGAAATGGGCATTTATTATGAATATGGTAGTATGGCTCCAAAAAAAATGACAATGTACACACAAAAAAATGTGTTGGGGTGGGGGGGCAAACAGATGTTATATGTGGGTATGTGAGCTATGGCTGTGGCAATGATAATGTAGTTTTAAAACATTATTGTTATTACCTTTTAAATCATTTATCCAATAAAAATAAATTCTGAAAGAAGCATTGGGTGTCTTTTTATGCTTCACAGACGAACTTGATTTTTTTTTTTTGATAAACCAAGACCATCTTCATCAGTCACATGTTGGAGAAGACCTTTAATATAGACCATAAAAACATATGTACATAAATGACACCAAGACAGACAGGTTTCCTGTTCAGTCAAGTTACATTGAAATGAGAGTAATCCCATAATTCACTAGACTGCTAAAATTTGTATTTCTTACATGACTGCAACAGCCACAAAATGATTCAGCAAATCTTAGTTTCTGGGTTTGACGTGCTAAGAAACGGAGCCGTTTTTGGGACTGAACAAGAGATGCAGCCCTCATGTGGCTGGTAACAGAACTTATTTTTCCTTCATTTGACTACATATTGGAATTGTTTGTGTGTGTGTACATGTTTATTCACCCATTTCTTGATAATTGTGTTCAGCTTAGTATTGAGATTGTTAAAAAAAATGAAGGGAAAAGAACCTTTTTAACTTCCCCCAATAAGAAACATCTAAAGAGTATCCCAGCTGAACAAATAAAAACCGAAAAATAACCTTTAAAATGGTCATTCTACAAAGAATGGTCAATTTGCTATATTAGAACACGGTCCAATCCCTAAAATCAGTGGTTCCCAACCCTGGTCCTGGAGGCACCCCAACACTGCACATTTTGCATGTCTCCTTTCTCTGACACACCAATTTCAGGTCTTGGAGTCTCTACTAATGAGCTGATGATCTGAATCGGGTGTGTTTGATTAAGGAGACATGCAAAACGTGCAGTGTTGGGGTGCCTCCAGGACCAGGGTTGGGAACCACTGCCTTAGATAATATCATCAGTAGAGTGTGTACTTGATCAAATAGCAAATGGAATCAAACGGACACTTTTAAGCCAACAGAAAATAGTTCTATTAGTTTAGTTCTATTTACATACAAAAGAGACTGCCATGGGCTGGAAACACTGGAAAATCTCCTAGACATACAGTACCACTACATTTACACTTTCCACAACACTAACAAAATGTCATTTTGTGACAGTCTCTTAAAACCGCCTCACCAGCGAGCAAGGAAATGCAGCGTTTATAACCGGACATCAGCTATTCGGCAAACGAGTACAAGACCCCCTGTTGAGTGTAACTAAAGAAGGCAACTTGAGAAGAAAGGTTACGTGTGTTCTGAGTTCAGCGAGTGTTCATTTTGCCAAACACTAAAAAAAAACAAGGCAAGGTTAATGTTGCTCGAGTCCGGCTCCTATGGTGTTAAAACAGTCTTTCGATCTAATGATCCAGCTTTGAGAAACCAGGTTTGGACCAAACAACAAACAGAAAAAAAGTGCTAAAGTTGTATATCTCTATGTACTACACTTTTGTCTAGGATGCTGGACAAGTTCCAGTTGAAGTTTTGTCCATGTAAGACTGCTGATAAAAACACTAGTCCAACTTCTTGTTGCGTAGACGTGCTATATCCAGTAAATAGCGGCACGTGGGAGCGGTGTGCTGTGAGAGGATGGTCAGAGCCTTGCCGTGCAGTAATGTCAGGGCAGTCTGGTGGCCCGTCGCCCATACTCGGTACCATGGTCCATAGAAGGGGTCAGAGACAGCAGGACACAGCATGTTATTCAGATTCACTTCTGTCAACTGGTGAGAAGCAAAATACAAGATTGAGTTAGCATAGGGCCACAATAACTAAAGCAAAACATGCATATGCGAAACAGAACGGTAACACGTTAGGGATCAATTCTCACTATTAACTAGTTGTTTAATAGCATGCATATTACTAACATATTGGCTGTTTATTAGTATTTATAAAGCACATATTAATGCCTTAATCTGCATGATCATATTTTAGATCCCTTAAAGGGGTCATATGATGCGATTTCAATTTTTCCTTTCTCTTTGGAGTGTTACAAGCTCTTGGTGCATAAAGAAGATCTGTAAAGTTGCAAACACTAAAGTCTCAAATCCAAAGAGATATTCTTTATAAAAGTTAAGAGTCAACCACGCCTACCTAAAATGGCTCGTTCTAATTCTCTTTATCTTGAGGTTGTAATACTGTCACAGAGGACCAGGAGTCTAAAAACCCTCACACCCATAACCCTGTAATGCCTGACATATGAAATAATAGACTGAAAAGTTCAATAAAAAGATACAATTTTAGTAACAAGAATATTATTCAAGTAAAACTCTACACACATTTAATAATACTGTGTGTGTGTGTCTCTCTCCCTCTTTCTCTATAGCCATACTGCTATTCTCTAGTATTCCCATACATTTTATTGAATTATTAGTAAATTGTATGTTTTTAATGATAAAAATCACCTAACGAGTCAGTCTGACTTTTTTCTCAGACTTTCATGATATAAACTCACAGTTGTGAGAAATAAAGTCAGAATTGCAAGATACAGTACATACTCTTTTTTTTTTTTCTTCACAATTGCGAGTTCACGGTTTAGTTCTTGGAATTCGTACTTTTTTCTTGCAATTGTTTATATCTCGCAATTTTGAATTTTTTTCTCACAATTAGAAAATTCCGACTAATTGTGAGATATAAACTCACAATTGTGAGTTATAAAGTCCGATTCTGAGGAAAAAAACTCCAAATTCCAAGTTTATGCAGTATATCTAATTCTGACTTTATTTCTCCGAACTGCATTTATATCATGCAGTTTTGACTTTATAACTCGCAATTTCGAATTTATATCTCAATTCTCACTTTTTTTCCCCTCAGAATTGCGAGTTTAAATCTCACAATTCTGGCTTTTTTTTTCTCGCAATTGCGAGTTTACATCTCGCTATTCTGACTTTTTTCCCTACAATTGCGAGTTTACATCACACAATTCCGAGAAAAAAAATCAATTGCGAGAATAGGGCTGCACGATTATGACAAAAATCATAATTGTCGATTATTCCCTTGAAATTGTAATTGCGATTGTTAATTACGATTATCACAATTTACATTGAATGATGTGTATACCATTGTTTGATGCAACTGCATGCCGTATTTTTATATGAAAATAAACAAGCTGAAAACACTAACTGAAAAACCTTCAGTGCTTTTCTATAGTATTAAGCCTCAAATGTCAAATATACATCATATTTGGTTTCTTCTTTAAATTATAAAAAAAGTAAAAATATGAATGGTATTATAATGTTATACTAAAACAATGGGAAAACCCTTAAGATAACATGTAGAAAGAAAAAAACATCTCTTAAGCACGCAGAATAACATAAGTGGGCTTTGAACGATTAATTGCCGCTTTGAACGATTACGTAATTGTGGCATCCATAATTGTAATCGCGATTAGAAATTCGATTTATTGTGCAGCCCTATGCGAGAATAAAAATTCTGAATGATGAGAAAGTTGCAATTACCTTTTTTTTATTCAGTGGCAGAAATGGGCTTCCATATATAAACTTAACTCCTATGAAAGCTCTAGAAAAATGCCATCAAATTTGCACTGCGTAACGTACTGCTTACTGTACCACTTAATTAAACACACAATGTTATGAGGTCATGTGACAAAGCAGTGGAATGTTGCAGAACAATGTCTACCGTTTCAGCATGCAGTGTATACTACGCAGTAAGTAGTAAGCTTTTCTAACACAGTCATAAGCTACCAACTCTTTCTATTTCGTCCATATTTGTAGGCAGAAATACAAAGTAGAATACTAGTATGCCTTTCTGATTTTCACAGTAGTGTTTGATTGTCGTACCATTCCGAGGCCCTGGAGGAACACAAAGTGGTAGAGGAAGAGGATGCCCGTGGACAGCAGCGCCCACCACATGTCTCTGAGCGGCTCTGGCTTATACACACCTGACAAACGAGACCCATGGCACAGTCTTTAAAGATGCATGTGGAGCCCAGATCTCTCTAAGTCAGGGAAGTATGTTTATCTGGATGCTTGAGCATTTCTTTTAAAGGAATATGCAGGGTTCAGCAGAGGTTAAGCTTGTTATCACACAGAATTTCAACTCGTCCTTCAAACAAACAAACAAAATTGTGATTTCAGGAAAGCACTTACAATGAGGGCAAGACAATGCACCTGGATAATCATTAGTGTTTCAAAAATATCACCACAAGACTTGAGCATTATAGGGTAAGATGGTAACAAATACTGCTTTATTTTGTTGTGACAAGTTAAAGTGAGGTTATAGATCTCTGAGAGAATTGGACCAGAGGGACGCTGTAGCTGATTTAATGAAAAAAAATAAAAGATTAAAAATCAGGGAATTATATATTATTCCCATAAATTACATGTGCATGTTAAACGTATACATTATTAATTAATTGAGGAGAATCATTCAATCTGAACTTAATTTTTTGCCATTATGATATGCTTTCAGTTAAAATATAGGCCTGTATCTTCTGGACTGATTCTTCTATTCAACTAAATATTTAATGTAATATTTTATTAATAATACCCTTTTATATTTATGAATGAATGATTTACATTTACATTCATATTTACCAAAAATCATTTTATAGTGATTTTACTATAAAAATGCTATTACAACATTTATTTTCCGTAATAATATATTAAATGATGAATCATTATTTTGCAAAACTATATAAAAAATGTTACAATTTAGCAGTGAATGCACACTTAAAGGGGACTTCTATAGTAATACAACTGCACTGTAACATTCAAATATACTGTATATTCAATAATATTAATCTGAATAATTTTACGTCACATGACAAAGACTTCTGTTAATTTCTTTACTTGCAAGCATTAAACCCTCAAGCTTTCTGAGATTGTTCAGGAAGACGTTTAAATTTGTCTGTGTCAAGCATAATGAATACCTGTATTATTATTGTGGATAATCTGCTTTATACCAATACATAAATAACTTCAGGTCAGTTCTTGGCTAGAATTAGCTGAAAAGGTTGACTAGACATTATGCAGGTGATTAATTGTCTAGTTACACAGCAAAAAAAATGAGCTTTTATTCAGTATTTTGCCTTGTTTTCCAGTATAAATATCGAAACATTCTTGAATCTAGAAAAAAAATATCTGTCAATGGGGTGGAAAAAAAAAAGTCAAAATTATTTGAAAGATATTTTCTTGTTTTATGCAAAAACTAACAAAACTTGGATACATTTTTCAGAAAACAAGGCTTAATATTTTAAGTCATTTTGCTTCCCAAGAATATATCTAGATTCAAGAATGTTTGGATATTTGTCCAGGAAAACAAGGCAAAAATACTAAATATGAAAATCAATATTTATTTATTTTTTGCAGTGATACACAAACCTTGCCCCCTGTTGAAACACATTTTGTTTCTCCCTGTACTCTACTTAAGGGCATGTTCTTATAATTACTCAAAAAAAAAAAACACTAGACACGCTAACAATTGTTCTTATCAAGTTTATTTAGGCTAATGAGGAGCTGTAATAATCCTTTCTGAACATTAGATGACACCTTTCTCTCTGAGCGTCATTGCTGTTCTGACGTACTTTACTCAGGGCGTGTGAAGTGTCCTTCTGACATCAACATAACTGTCATTTCACAACTGAAACATCGGTTGGATGAGCTCTATAAATAACAGCACTGATTTCAACAGTACTACTGCTCACTTTTCAACTGAAACGTGTCAACATGGAAGCTGAAACGATATTGTGCACATGGCAGATATGATGATGTGCGGTAAAAGCTCCAGCACTATGACTGTTTGCCCAGACTTCAGAGACTCACCTCCTTTTCTGAAGAGGTAGACTGGCACAAGATACAGCATGGAGTGCTGAATATAATAGATCTCCTTCTCAAATGGAAGCTGTGATGGGAGAAAAAAGAAAAAAAAGTAGGTTAAGAAGACAAAACATACATGTTCCAGCCTTATTTGGTGTCAGCATCACTTGAACAGAGCGCTTAGCTCAAGTATAAATACACTCACCAGTCGAGTGTTGACTACTGGGAAGAGAAGAGCTAGAAGGGCTCCATTCAGCATATGGACCTGAAACCTTCAAAACAAAAAAGACAGAAAGCTCACAGCAACAATATATCTAAAACAACAGTGCAGGATCTAAATATCAACTGCACAAGGGAAAAAGAAATGTCACAGATATCAGAAATATCATTCAAAACATGAAGCTATTATAGGTCAAAGGCAACTGTAAAACAAAATACTTCTATCAAAAACAAACCTATGCATCATATGCTGCCTTAAAGCAACAATATATGCATCCTGCACAGAGAAGGAATCCCTAAAAATATATTGAAGTTGATGGTATGAAATGAAAAATGGTGATATATACACACCAGTATTTACTGAAATATCCACATCTAATACTGAATTAGATGTGTCAGTATCAATACACAATATAAACGTATATAGATGGCAAAACTTTAGTATAGGGACCAATTCTCACTATTAACTAGTTGCTTATTAGCATGCCTATTAATAACACATTGGCTGTTTATTAGTACTTATAAAGCACATATTCTGCAAGACCATATTCTACATGCCTAATCCTACCCAATACCTAAACGTAAAGGGGTCATATGATGTTGCTAAAAATAACATTATTTTTTTGTGTAATGAAATGTGTTTATGCGGTTTAAAGTTAAAAAACACATTATTTTCCACATACTGTACATTATTGTTTCTCCTCTATGCCCCGCCTTTCTGAAATGCGTCGATTTTTACAAAGCTCATAGGTCTGAAAAAGCGAGGTGTGCTCTGATTGGCCAGCTATCCAGTGCGTTGTGATTGGCCGAATACCTCAAGCGTGTGACGGAAATGTTACGCCCCTCACCATATTGTGATGCTGTGTCAGGCCGGAGCAACGAGACAAAAACATTAAAACCCATTATAAACGAAGCATTTGTTGCATCCAGTGGGGACATAATTACGGATTATAATGACTTATACGGTCTTTTTACGCGTTGCATCGCGCCACGTAAACATAAAACCATGTCTGCATCTGTGATCGGAGAAACGACAAACAACAAGCGCTACTCTACGCTGCCCAAAACTCGCGTTTGAATCATCAGTTCGCTTTCACAACGAAACACAGCACCTTCACGACATGGCGGCGGCGGCAGCAACAATACTACAGAGAGAATAAAAGATACTAATTCTTTCTTTGCGTGAACATTTGGGCGGCGTTATGCAAATCTTCCCACATCGTGACGTAGATATGTGGGGGCGTGTTATAACGAGCCGTTTTAGGTAGGCGTGGTTGACTCTTAACTTTTATAAAGAATATCTCTTTGGATTTGAGACTTTAGTGTTTGCAACTTTACAGACCTTCTTTATGCACCAAGAGCTTGTAACACTCCAAAGAGAAAGGAAAAATTGAAATCGCATCATATGACCCCTTTAACAACTACTTTACTATTATTCAGTAGTAAATTGGTAGTTTGAGGCAAAAGTCGTAGTTAATGGTTTGTTAATAGTGAGAATTGGAGCTTAAAATAAAGTGTGACCATATAGATAGATAAATGGTTTTACCGATAGACCTATTAATGTGAAAGACTTCAGTCACAGCCATAACTTGAAGTGCTGTAAATGGTAAAACTATATGCACTACGAACTAAGTGTGTTTATCATTACAATAATGAATTAACATAATATTATAACAAACAGGGCTGGAGTGGGGCTCATTTTTAGTCCAAGAGTTGAATACCCTCTTTTTTTTTTAACTTGTACATTTTAACAAGAATATACACATCAATAACAAACGACATAGTAAACTTCTTAAGCAAACATTCTGCAATCAAACTTATGAATAGGCACAGCTGAAAAATACATCAAATGAACAAATGAAAAAGCCAATCAATTAAAATGAATAGCAGACATTATTCGGAAGGTGGACTGATTCGGTTTACTATTGTCCTCTTGCATTATCGACACACTATTTTCCTGTTCATCACTGTAAAGCTGCTTTGACACAAGCTGTTATGTATAAAGTGCTTAAAGGTGACTTGACTTGACTGTTTGGTCATGATAGCCAATGATTGCAGAGCAGGGTCAGATATTAATGGTGGCTTGTGGCAAAAATGCCACCAAAATGAACAAAAATGTGGCACAAATTCAAGACAAACAGGCAAAAATTGTCCCTGCACAATTACACTAAATAAATTATGGCTGTCACGATTAAAATGCAATGTGAAAATGAATGAACCAATGTGACACTATGACATGTCACTAGCTGAAGTCACCCAGTTCTACAAAAAACTGCACATTCGAGTTTAAGCAAAATAATTCAGACAAATTCACCATGTAAAAGTTGAGCTGCACAAAGCTTCATATTAATTTGAAATTGTCTGATGACATCTTATGATGTGATTTCTTATGACATGATATCTAAATTTAAATGTCTAATATGAGTCCACGCATACACCAAATATCTTATGATCACATATCTTTTTCAGAGGGGTTCTGGCTTCAAGTCAGTTGTCTCTTTTGACACCAGTGTGTTGTTGTAAGCGGTTACATTAAACCCTAATTTATCAGTGAAGATACAAGATGGACTTTGCTGTAAAAACCACATCATTAGACACATTTCAGTTGGAAAGCAAATCATTCACATGGACCACTGGTGCTTGGACCCTAATGATTACAGCTTGCAGCTATTTTGTTATTATTATAATTTTACAGAACAACGGTAACATTTATGACTGTCTTAATTTCTCTGCATTCAAACATTAAACCATTGAGCTTTTATTGTGGCGGACATTCAAAAGGAAAAGCCGAAACAAGGATATACGAGATATACAAGACACGCGTAGATATACAAAACATAAACAAAGCAGCGCTTACCATTTTGAATATCAGTTACGTTGATAACTTTCTTTATTTTAAGCGGCTCATGTTGTTATAAAACATGGTGAATCGGCCAACTGCCGTCAATGAGAGCCTACGAGGGAGCACACCAAAAAACTAGCTCGACAGACGCTCGCACGATGACTGACCGTTGACTTGTGTCCCAGCCTTTTGTTAGACTTGATTACTGCAATGTGAAACAGTATGTTGAGTCTCCTGGCCTTAGCTTCTCAGTTTCGTACAAAAGCCAGTACGAAGGCACCACATCTGTTCTTTAGAGAAAAGTAGTGAAGCAATATTACTTAAAATATTATTTTCAGCTATGTTTCCACTATTTTGTACATAATCAGTTGGACTTTTCTGAAATGCATTAGGAACATGAAACGGCATTGCTCATGTTGAATTCAAGCCAGATCTAATGTGCTGGTCTAAAACAGGCCATTATCAGTACTTATTGGAAACAGGCATCTGATGTCATGGCCACTAGTTTACATGGTAATACACGTTAATCTGTGATGTACAGGATGGTGTTTTGGTGAATGAATGGCGAGTTACATAACGCTCACCTAAGAGTTGAGAGGCACAATCTGTTCTGAAAAGCAGTCACTGAAGTAGCAAGCATCTTTAAAAAACAAAGCCTTGCTGGAAGTTTTTCACATTAAAATGTAGAAGCAAGGAATCAAAGCTCATGTGACTCATTTTGAAAGAAATCAATTTATAATGTGATGAATCTAAAATTCAGGTCATCTCTGGGGTTGTTTATCATTTATTGCCATCTGGTGACATTACCAATTCAGCATGTCTCTCATTCAGGACATTAACAGCTTCTGTGAGGAATTTAGCCTCACCCTGTCACTTAAGTCAAAACAGGGACATTAGCACCACTCTGTTAAAATTACAAAAGGGCTTATGTTTATGATTTCATATTAGAGAGCATACATCATAGCAATTCTTCACATGTGGTATAATGTTAATTATCAAGTCAAGTCATGTTAATTGATATATCACTTTTATACAAAACTGATTGTTTTAATTAGATGCCCTAATGCATGTGCTAAAATTACAATGACAAGCAACATTTAGATCTTACACTTACTGTAGATCTAGCGCCCAGTTAGTCATGTCAACAAAACTGATTCCTGCATCTCAAGAATTGTTTCATTATGTTTCATTTTGATGTGATCAGGCATTTGTGGACAACAAACAGATGCCTTTTGCTTTCAGATGAAACATGAATCCAGAATAAGGTTTATTACTTCCAGAGAAACTACAGTTTATCTTATCAATAAGAAAATATGTAACTGCTATAGTAACATCCAACTCAAGTCACTTGCATTTTTAATCTTCTGCACTTTATCCATTCATGATATCCATCTAGTAGTTGGTTACTCTCGTCTATCATTTTGTTAATGAAATCCCTTTTATTACACTTGTGTCTTCCTCGTGTTGATTATAGAGTGATAGGCTCTATGAGTTAATGATATGTCACAAATAATTCAGATTGGTCAGCTAACAACTACCTCTAATTTATGTAGTTGTTTATTCAACAATCTTCCATGATTGTTCTTTACTGGTCAAGGTGAAATGTCTGGCTGGTGTCCCGTAAAATAGGAAAGAATTATCTGACACTCTCACACTCACCTTAAGTGACATGTGACCTGGAACTCAATATTAATATTAATTGTTTGCTTGTTTGTTTTTAATATAAAAGTGTTCAGTTTTTGGCAAATGTAAAAGGCCCTTTCACACCAAAAGTGAAATGAATAAGCCTCAGGCCTCATTTTTGTGTTAACATTTAAATATTGCAGGTTTGCGTCAAATTCTGAGTTTGCATTTCACTCTTTTTTTTCCATTTTGAAAAATACTGAATGTGTTTTTGTGCAGGTGAGATGACTAAATGCATGTTCACATTTAGTCTAGACTTGCAGTAACCCTTATATTTACACAGCGAACCCAACGCCTCTGCACTCACTCCCAAATTCTCTCAACATGGAGACAGAAATGGGGAAAAAAAGTAACTTAGATATTTTCTTGTAAATCAAAAAGTAATGTGTTACTTTACTAGTTACTTGGAAAAAGTAATCTGATTACGTAACTTGAGTAACTTGTAATGTGTTACCCCAAAACACTGCTCATGAGTACCCTAAGCATTCACAGAAAATGGTGTTGAAAGGCTATTTTAGGAAGAGTCTGGTGATCTGCATAGGTTTGCATTCCTCATATGCTGAAGAGGCCAAACAACCAAAATAGTAGTTACTGTCACTAGACTTAAATTGCACATGAAGACCAAGAGTGAAGGTAACAAGAAATCTAACAGCTCGCTGCAGTGCAACCCGTTACTGAATACTTACCTAAAGATAACCATGGCCGTTTTACAAGGGGGACATGCAAGCAGGAAGATCTGCAAAAGATAAAGTGATAAAGCTCAATAACAATTACTTTTTTGGACAAAGCAGATATTACATAAAGCAGTGAAACTAGTAATGCAAACTACTAGACATGAGAGTGAGTAAATGATAAACAGAAATTTTACTAAGTCAACAAGAGGACAACAATTCCAAATAAATGCTGAAATACAACTCTTAAAACAGAACAGAACAACCATTGCTGCAAAGAGAAGGCTGCTCATTCAAGCCATTATAACTGCTGTAAATGAGGGCTCTGTTCATTGTCACGTACTGTGTACCTTAGGTATTGGCGGTATATAAATGCAGTCTTTTGAACAAGTGCCAAGCCGTGCATATCTTATCTTCAGTGGCTGAGTGTCAATCAAACAGACATACAGCTACTGAAAAATGGAGACCTGGAGATAACATGACACCATTTCGGACTAGTTCAGTGTTGCATTGAGAACTACTCCCAAATCAACAAACTCATTATAAATCAACTAAATCATCAAACTGAGCATTTGTAATTGAGCTGTTTTAATTAGGGATGCACAATGTTATCGGACCAATATCAGAATCAGCCGATAATGGCTTTAAATATAAATATCGGTATCGGCCCGATATGAAAAATTATGCCCTGATAAGAGGAATACATTAACTCACATGTGCTCAGGGTGTGCTAGCGATTAGATCACATCAGCAGTGTGGCTCATTCTTGAAGCAAAGTTTTGCCTGAATGGTGATTAGATTCACTGTTTTGGATCGCTGCATTTAAACTGAGAATGCACGTACAGAATGATGCGTTTGGTGTGCGATTGAGTCAACAGTGTAAGTAACGGTAAGGAGTTTTAATTCCGTTAATTCCGTTAATAGGCGCTGTTGGCCTACTTCTAATAAAATGAAAGCAAAATACACAAATAATATTTAGACTGTGTTTCTAATTAAATAAAGCAGTAATTGATGCCATAAAATCATGAGTAGCCTATGTTTTGATTTAAAGATCAGAAGCTATAGCTTACATGAAAAAAACAACAACAAAAAAACACGACACTTAAAGGTGCAATAGGTGATTTGTCTTCAGAAACATTTTTTGTTATGCTGGTTGAAAGTCTCTTCACATCCCAAAAGCAATCATTAAGTTAAGAGGTCTAAATGTATTTATGTGTATTTATATATTCTGTGGAAGGTGAAGGACCAAGAAATGTTCGTCCAATCAAAACGTTCGGTCCGAGCGTTTTAATTAGCTTTCCTACCTGCCTGTCAATGTATGTATTAGCATACCTCTGCGCACCCGGTTTGCGCAGACAGGATACGTCATCAGCGCGTTCACGCTGTGCAGACAGAGCGAGAATGGCAGACAAACATCAACAACCCGATCTTCCTTCCTGGTATAGTAGTACTTTTAAAGTTTTCTCACCGGTGAATGACACATGATGTAGCCCAGCGGTTCCCAATTCCAGTCCTCGCGGCCCCCGCTCTGCATATTTTGCATGTCTTGCTTAGTTAGCACACCCGATTCAGATAACCAGCTCGTTAGAAGTGAGCTACGTGCATGAACTGTGTTCCGATCGATATGATCCCTACACAGTGTTTATTGTTCCCTCCTCCCTGAGCAGGGGAAATCCATTGAAGTTTACTTCACTTCAGAACATGGGCTGGAATTGAGAACGGCTGATGTAGCCTATTGTAATGTTGTCCCTGGTATTCTGATATGTGAGCGTATATGTGTTCAGGGGCGTGGCTTTGGACGGCGATTGCAGGGAGGGTGGGACGTTCGCTTTCAGTGCTATCAGGCTAAAGTTAGCATTTTCCAAGATCTCCTACTGCACCTTTAAGTTTGTGGTCATACTAACAAATATTTATTTATTTATTAATATATATTAAAAGGCACTATATAAAATTTTATAGATGGTTGGACGTTGGCATGAAATAGAAATTCACCCTGTTCTAAATGCATGATGTTATAGATCACACTTGGATGTATGACACGATATGAAAGAAAAGATCTGTCAATACTTCCATTTCATTGCAACTTAAGCATTTAATCTGGAAAAGAGCCTGGCTAAGCTCACAGTTCTCTGTTTTTTCACTTTTTGAATGTGACAGCTTCTCAGGTTCCAAGGCCTCATGGGATAGTAATGTGTCCTGCTGTGGTTGCACATTTCAAAATCTCTTCGGATGCAGGTCATCACCTAGGTAATGTTCACCTATTTCTTTTTGCAAGTTCAGAAGTATACATATTCTGACAGGGCGTCTGGTGAATGCAGTGAAGAGGAGTTATACTGTCCAAACCCTAAAACATCCATGTGCACTCTTTATACTCAGTTTGATCATCCCTGCATTCAAAAAACATGCCCAAACCAATTGTGATAGATTATAACGAGTGCAAAAGTTATTTTTGTTGATTGAGTATTCAGCAGATGAGCACCTATTCCACCAGATAAAAGCTGCGACGGATATAAATAATTCCCTTTGATTTTACCACCATCTCGGTCTGTCTAGATCTATCTATCTATCTATCTATCTATCTATCTATCTTTACATATAATCAAGAGTGCTTTTCAGTACAACATATCGATTAGATCACATCAGCAGTGTGGCTCATTCTTGAAGCAAAGTTTTGCCTGAATGGTGATTAGATTCACTGTTTTGGATCGCTGCATTTAAACTGAGAATGCACGTACAGAATGATGCGTTTGGTGTGCGATTGAGTCAACAGTGTAAGTAACGGTAAGGAGTTTTAATTCCGTTAATTCCGTTAATAGGCGCTGTTGGCCTACTTCTAATAAAATGAAAGCAAAATACACAAATAATATTTAGACTGTGTTTCTAATTAAATAAAGCAGTAATTGATGCCATAAAATCATGAGTAGCCTATGTTTTGATTTAAAGATCAGAAGCTATAGCTTACATGAAAAAAACAACAACAAAAAAACACGACACTTAAAGGTGCAATAGGTGATTTGTCTTCAGAAACATTTTTTGTTATGCTGGTTGAAAGTCTCTTCACATCCCAAAAGCAATCATTAAGTTAAGAGGTCTAAATGTATTTATGTGTATTTATATATTCTGTGGAAGGTGAAGGACCAAGAAATGTTCGTCCAATCAAAACGTTCGGTCCGAGCGTTTTAATTAGCTTTCCTACCTGCCTGTCAATGTATGTATTAGCATACCTCTGCGCACCCGCACATGATGTAGCCCAGCGGTTCCCAATTCCAGTCCTCGCGGCCCCCGCTCTGCATATTTTGCATGTCTTGCTTAGTTAGCACACCCGATTCAGATAACCAGCTCGTTAGAAGTGAGCTACGTGCATGAACTGTGTTCCGATCGATATGATCCCTACACAGTGTTTATTGTTCCCTCCTCCCTGAGCAGGGGAAATCCATTGAAGTTTACTTCACTTCAGAACATGGGCTGGAATTGAGAACGGCTGATGTAGCCTATTGTAATGTTGTCCCTGGTATTCTGATATGTGAGCGTATATGTGTTCAGGGGCGTGGCTTTGGACGGCGATTGCAGGGAGGGTGGGACGTTCGCTTTCAGTGCTATCAGGCTAAAGTTAGCATTTTCCAAGATCTCCTACTGCACCTTTAAATTAAATAATTTTATATATACTGATTTATGTATAATATGTTATATTTTTTAAACAAATTATGAGCTCTAAAAGATTTTCACAATTTTTACAACTCTTTTGCTTTAGACCATTTACAAATGTTAAATCTTAAAATAAAATGTTAAAGTTACAAAAAGTAAAAAAAAAAAATGCAGCGATTGAATTTAGTTTATTTTCAAATCTGCATTGTATTGTCATTATAAAATAACTTCGTTATTATTTATTTAATTCTAAGTTCTTGTTAAAAACCAAAATTAAAAATAATTTGCTTATTTCTGCACAGGAGAGACTTGGTGTTGATTCCAAACAAAAGGAAATATATCGGCATCGGCTATAGGCCAAAATGAGTTGAAAAATATCGGCATATCGGATATTGGCAAAAATCCAATATCGTGCATCCCTAGTTTTAATCATCTTTTTGTTTCATATAAATATTGCAAACAATTGCAAACAACTTAAAATTACAGAGATATTTGTTTACGATAAAACAATTTTGTACTGTGCTGTTGTTTTGATCACTAGTGAGAATGTTCTTTCAGTAGTGATAAAGGCAACTAAGAACGGCCACAAGCCATATCTAATCTAGGGTTAATGAGATCACAAATTGACAATTTAGTATCTGTTGGGAGGGTAGCCAGGATTTCCCTCTTCGGATAGAAAGAGCAGTCTGGGTGCAGGACACAAGGAGGAAGGAAGTTGAATCCTGTCAGCAGATATCCTTATCCCTGGTGAGTCAAACTAGAGAAGAATCTGACATTGCGTATGAGAACACATTCACTCTCATGTAATATGCTCACTTCAACGCAGAGCGAGCAATTAAGATAATACTGTTACAGCCATTTAAATACAAACACAAAATGGTTTTCCATTGAGTGATGAATTCCATGAATGAACAGGAATGCCATGAATTTAAGTGCTTATTTAATTCAGTGACAGTCTAAACTAGAGTTGGACATTTTCTGAAGAATATGTGAGTGGTGTTTGCCCATGCAAAGTCTGCTTTACATGATGAACAGATTTATTTTAGCTTTTAATTCACATATAAACACACATACATAGAGCGAATCAGATATGGTAAACATGGAAGCTTGTGCACAACCTCACTAGTTTCATGTATCATACAGGCACGAGAACCAGTGAAGTTTATTCCAGTAGAGGATGCTATGGGATGCACACACAAAGCCTAAATCAAATCTGTATATCATATATAGTGATCACATCACTTGTATTAAACCCCTTGATTGATATGGATATAAACCTTTTGAATCCCTGGACTTTCAATGGATGGACAGAATATCTTAATTTGTGTTCTGTAGATTAACCAAAGTACTGTTACTTGTTACTTTCCACATATCTCCCTGTGTATAACTATTATTATTGGCTTTGCACTCAAATTGTGTGAGAGTTCCATTAAAGCTGTTTACAATTCCCAACTATTCTGGCTTTAATATTTACCAAATGATAAGCCTGTGACCTTGTTCAAATACTGTAAGACTTGCACAAATAAGTTTATTGACATAAGTGGAGCCATAGAGTTACTACGGCATACCGCGCTTGAGAACACATGCTGAGTTTGCATATTTGAAGCCCGGTAGAGTGTCATCATAGCATGCCATAAAAGGCGGGCAATCTCGGGCTGGACTCTGCAAATGAAGCTAAGGATTTATCTAGTTGCTTATTATGGGAAAGGCTCACCTTGAGAACAGGAACATTCTCAGAAACCTGTCATGTTACAATAAAAACTGCTTACGCCCGAGTTGGGCAATGTATCAGATATTTACACCTGATTTAGAAGGTGATATAAAATTAAGCAACACTGACGATTTCATGCTGCTTCTTATTTGACCATTAACTTTCCCAAAGCCTGCTAGATTCGATATCTGTGCTTCTCTTCACCTTTATTTGTATAGTGCTTTATACACTAGAGATTGTTTCAAAGCAGTGTTTACAGTAAACAGGGAAGCAATGATGCAAACTTTATCAAATATGTGACAAATCAAAATTCTGCTGTCAAGCAGCTCTAAAATGACAATAGGTTGAAACATGAAGATCATTTAACAAACCGCTGGCTTATTAATGGCCATGAATGTGCAACAAGTATGATAACATTAAGAGAGTGAGATGTTCCAAAGGTTTGCATGATGCAATTTTCAGATATTTCTTATTATATATAATAATATCATGTAGTATTTTTATTACAGTGTTTTATTAATGATTAAAAGTATTTTAACAAAAATATTTTTAATTCATAAAAATAAATACTTTATTTTAAAATACATTTTTTTGTTTTAAAATATTTTTTATTTAAAAATGTCTAATTAATTTTGCCATTGCGCAAAATTGTTTGCATAAGTGCCATTATTCATGTTAAAATGTTTAAGTAACATTTTAGTATAGAAAATGTTTCAGTAATAATTTGGTTGCAAAATACCACAACTATTCACAAATGTCGCCATATAAAAAGTACAGATAAAAATATATATAGGTAAATGTTGTTTATTACTAGTTTATTAAATTGGTGCATTTAACAGTAACTAAGAATTCTGTAACTAGGTTTTCTGTAACTGTGTTTAAACAGCATTTATTCATCTAGGTCAAGGGTTCCTAAACTTTTTTTTGTCAGTGGAAACCCTCAGAAGCAAAATATTTACTTAAAGTACGCCCTGTAATTAAGTTAATCCCAGGCACATACTGAGATTTGAACGGTGATATTACTTTTAATTCTTATCAAAAGTCTTGATACTGCTGTGATGAGACATCCAAACACAAAGTACAAAGACTCTACAGCTAATGGAAAGGATATTCATACTTCAGTCTTCACAAATATGTTGGAAATTATGCGAATGTGAATGTAAATCAAGTGAACCTAACAAGCATGTTATATAATGAATGCAGTCACAGATATTTAGCAGAATATTGGTTACCAAACTGTAGGCATTGGCTTCCATAGTATCCATATAACCAACAATTTAGTTACCAACATTCTTCAAAATATCTTCTTTTGTGTTCAACAGAAGACAGAAACTCATATGGGTTTGGATCAACTTGAGGACGAATAAATGATAGAACTTTCATTTTTGGGTGAACTGTCCCTTTAATGCATTTGCTTGAAGTAAACTTTAATGAAAATTTGTCTTCAACATTTTACCTAACCACTTTCAAAAATCAATAAGGCACTAAAGACCTAACTATATTAGTGAACACTGTCACTCAGCTGCACACTGTGGCTTTAACTGACTACATTCATCATACAACACTGCCTCTCGTTCCTTCTTACTGAAATAAATAATACACTTTATTTTGATTTTTTTAATCTAAAATCTTTATGGTGAAATAAAAGTTCATGTTCATGTTATCTGTCAAATACCCAACCAACCTCTGTAATTATTTTTGCCAAAAAACGACAGATTTTTCATTTTTTGGGTGAAGCATACCTTTAAGGACCAGTATATTTCTTTATTTTAATTTTGGGATGTAATATGACCTAGACATGTTTTGGAAGATTCAATTGAATAAGTTTTCATGTCAATAAAAAAAAAACACTATATAACTGAATGTGAAACGGATTACTCTTAATTCACCTGGTACATCTAAACTGCACATCAGTTTAAACCGCTGCAAAAAGGGGCACAACACATTTCAATACTTCCTCCTTTTCAGAACTGATCTATTTTTTAAATGTGGTGACAGCTCTCATTTCCTTCCTATGTTTGAGAGCCAGCTAACTGTAGAGAGGAACCACAAATGATAACAAGTTCAGAATTGCACCTAGGTATGTGTTGTGCAATGTAGGAACATGTTTCTTAAATTCGCAGGGCATGCACTGACATTCAATGCTTGGAGACGAAACAATGTATTGCTTCAAAAACTAGTTTATCCAAAGCAACTTACTACTCACTAAATACAGATGCTGCTCAATGAAGTAATCTGAAGTTGAATGCTTTGTTCAAGGGATTTTGAAAGTACACAGCCTTTCAGTTATCAGTTGTCAGAATCACATCTGCACAATATTTTTTTTTAGGATTTTATCAGAAATATACTTACTTGCACCATTGTGACCAAATGACATGGATTGAGGAGGTAGATGACAGTCTTTGTGGCAAACTTAAACCCAACCTCAACTCCAAAAGTCATGCACAGAGCCACAAGCAACAGGTTCTTGCCCCAGGTGTCTTCTTTACTCCTCCTGCCATCTTTCCCCACATCTCGAACCTCTTTAGGGACATTTAACTTTTTGATGGCCACCACCACTTCCAGGATAGAAATGAACACAATGATCAGAGTCTCAAATATTCTCTGTCGGGGAGAGAGGAAGGCTGCACACTCAGGGCCTCCATTGCCCTCAAACATGGGGTCCACCCCTCCATACATCCAGTCCAGCAGACTGTAGATATTATACCGAGACATGTTCCTCTGCTCGTATTGGAAAAGGTACGAACAAGACGGAATAAAAGACAGGACACCGACCTCCTGGCGAAACATTAACGTCAAATCGGTCTTCGGTGAACGAATGATGAAATGACCGAAGAGGTGGGCAGCCTCAGCTGTTTAATCAGATCCGCATCTTTTATGTGAAAGACACCTGTGGGAGAGATCTAGAGGCTATATGATGCAATGTATTATTCACAGATGGTCAAGTTGTATCTATCCTAGAAGGAAGACGCATTTCCAAACGTGACGTCTTGACTGGAAACCGGTTCTCAGCTAAGACAAGGGTCCAGAATATTCCTTGCCAGAGCGGATCATTACATAAAAGCTTCAAAGAGACCCTTGATACGCGCCGAGAGGCCTTACATTTATAAACACAACTAAAAAACACGACTACGACCGATACGTGAGAGATGTAGCTGGCTGTTGCAATATATCATCCGAAAAGTGCGATAAAAGCAGACGCAGAAGGTGAGATGTGTCCGGGTCCATGTGGCGTATTAAAGACCTCCTCACCATAGAAACGCCGCCCTGTTCACGCGAGCCCCTAAATCCACCCACACCGCAACACGCCTGCGCGCTTAGTTTCTCGCGAAAACCATCAGCAGCATATCGTTATGCCTGTTCACTTCCGGAAAAGGACCAGAGCGCGGGGCCCCACCTTCTTTGCGCAAGTATGTACTTGTTAACTCCCTCACTGCCGGTGTAGCTGTACATGTGATGGTTAAATTTTCGTAAATGATACCGCACAAATAAAAAAAGTGGAAGGTAAACTACCTGACAAGAGAGTAGTAAAAAGAAATAAAGTATTTAGTCCAGAAAAAAAAAACTGCCCAGTCTAGAAAAGAGATTTATACGAGTAAAACCTTACTTATAATAGGCTAATAAATTAGCCTATATCAAGGAAAGCTGAAGGAGCCTAACGAAATACAGACACGTTTTCTCTCCACTTGATGGAATATTTTTTATCCTTCTTGCAGGGATAGTTCATCCAGAATATGAATATATAATATAATATAATCAATTATTATTTTATTATGTAATAATCTTATATTACTAGACCTCAATTCGCCTTTGAAACCATTTGTCATTGTTTACTTTTCTCCCACCTCTCAGATGTAGGTGTTACAGGTGTTGCTCTTTCTTGCTTTTCCACCGGTCTCTCTGATAGACAGTTCTACATCTCAATGCATACTTTTCAGTTGCCTACTGTCTCTCTGAAGCAAGGTGTTCCTCAAGGATCTGTTCTTGGACCGTTACAGTTTTTATCTATACACAACCCCTAGATCAGTTTATACATCAACCTGTTTCAACTACCACTGTTATGCAGATAACATTCAAATTTGCACTGCCTGTAAACCTGTCATCTTTCACTCACCCTCATGTTTTTAGAAACCCCGATGACTTACTTTCATTTGTAAATGAATGAATGAATGATGCATTTATATAGCGCTTTATTGTGTATTGATGTACACCCAAAGCGCTTTACAATCGTATGGGGGGTCAACCACCACCAGTGTGCAGCATCTACTTGGATGATGCGACGGCAGCCACAGGACAACGGCGCCAGTGCACTCACCACACACCAGCTACAGGTGGAGAGGAGAGAGAGTCATAGAGCCAAACAAGTGGATGGGGATTATTAGGAGGCCATGATTGACAAGGACCAGTGGTGGCAATTTGGTCATGACACTGGGGATACACCCCTACTCTTTACGAGGAGTGCCATGGAATTTTTAATGACCACAGAGAGTCAGGACCTCAGTTTAACGTCTCATCCGAAGGACGGTGCTTTTTACAGTATAGTGTCACCGTCACTATACTGTGCATTAGGACCCACACAGACCACAGGGTGAGCACCCCCTGCTGGCCTCACTAACACCTCTTCCAGCAGCAACCTAGTTTTCCCAAGAGGTCCAGTAGCCCCTCACTGCTGAACACAAGATCCAGGGGGCGTGGTTGGATCCACATCTAGGGGGTGGAGATTGGTAAGTTAAGGGGTGGAGATGGGTGGGTTTAGGGATCAGGGGGTGGAGACGGGTAGGTTTAGGTATATGTAAGGTGGGAGGACCCTGGATCTTGTGTTCTGCAGTGAGGACCATCTCAAGAGGTCTCCCATCCAGGTACTGACCAGGCTCAACCCTGCTTTAGCTTTAGTGGGCAACCAGTCTTGGGCTGCAGGGTGATATGACTGTGGTACAACACACCACATGGCTGTGGTTAAGCACAACATAATATATTTTACATCTAAAATGAAAATGAACATCAAATTCAAATTGACTAGAATGGAACTAGAACTGGAACTAGGCTGGAATTCAAAAGACATTTTTAATTCCATTCTGAAATATGTGCAACTCTTAAATTAAAACAATAAATGAAAATAAAATGAAAAAAGACCTAAAGAAAAACAAACAGTTATAGAAAGTTGTACACGTACGTGTTAACATTCTGGCTAAAAACATCTTAAACTAGCCTAAAATATAGTAGTCAACATTTGAAGTGGATCAAAAATGTTCATCAAAGTTATCCTAAGACAAGAACACATTTTGGTTTTAGGTTTTAGGACAACTTTGATGAAAGGTTTTTATCCACTTCAAATGTTGACTACTGTAGATTTATGGTCCTAGAAGATGGTCTCCCAGCCTTGTCATGCCAGCCTCGTTATAGAAGGGATTTGACCAGACTGTGACATCCTTTCTAAACTAGCTAGAAACCTGTTTAAACCAGCTAGGACCTTGCTTAAGACTGAGATGATTTAATCTTATTCGCTTCTCATTCTTCGTCACAATTGATGATAAGCTTTGGTTTTTAACATAATGAATCATGAATTAAACACTTATTCACTTCATATTTATCATCATTATTGATGACAAGCTTTGGTATTTAACATACTGAATCATGAATTAAAACACGCAGCACACATTGGTTCCTTAAGTAGCTATCTGCATAAACGCTGACTGTTATTAGAGAAGACCATTCCTTTACGTTAGACGTGTTTGGGCGTTTTACAAGTACATTCCTAATAGATTCATGATACATTGATTCAAAACGACCCCTTGTGGTAAATGTAGTAACGACACTTCAGTCCAATATTTTGTCTAATGTTTTTTTTCATTGTAATTTTATTGTTGATAAAATGGGGTTTTCAAGGATTGATATTCTTATATTACTAGACCAACTGTATTCTGTTTTCTAATATTACTAGACCTCAGTTCGTCTTTGAAACCATTTGTCTTATTTACTTCTCTCTCGCCTCTCGGATGTAGATGTCACAGGTGTTGCTCTTTCTTGGTTTTCCACCTGTCTCTCTGATAGACAGTTCTACATCTCAGTGCATACTTTTCAGTTGCCTACTGTCTCTCTGAAGCAAGGAGTTCCTCAAGGATCTGTTCTCAGGCCACTAATATTTGTATCTATATACTACCCCATTGACGCTGTTCAACTACCACTGTTATGCAGATAACATTCAAATTTGCACTCCCTGTAAATCTGCCCTATCCACTCAAACTGATTCAGTTTCTGCTTGCATAAATGAAATAAAAATATATCTTTTTAATGAAGGCAGCATAGATGTATTCTATGATGCCTATGATTTCCCACAATCTTGTGCATTCCCACAATTCTGTGACAGTTGAGCTAAAAATAAAAAAGGCATTTTAAAGTTGGGGTTGGTGGTCAGTTTGTGTGTAAATGTTGGTTTTTGACAAATTTTCCCCCCAAATTTTTCAATTTGTTTTTCACTTTAAGCAGTAATTTCTACCAGCAAATTAGTATTGAAGTAATTAAATATTCATTTAGTTATCACCAAAGCTCTCTCTAATTTATTGTAGATATTTAATGTGTTTGTAATAAATGTCAAACCAGAATGTAACATATTTATTTATTTACTTACTTCAATTTGGTGCAATTTTAACATGAAAGCTGTAGCTATATTTTCAAAGCTCTTTGTAACAAAAAGCCCAAACTGATCACATCTCTTATGCTTTCATTAAAGTTATGTATATTTCAATCCACATAATCCTTAGTTTAATTTCAAAACAAACAAACAAAAAAATCGTTGTAATATGTAGGCTAATGAGAACAGTTCAGTACTTTTAACAATCCATTAATTAAACAGCAAACAAGCAAGCCAGTACAGTGTAAACTGTGGGAGTTCAGTTTCTTCAACAGTAAATATGACCAGCATTGAGTTTACTGGCATTGGCTCCTCTTGGGTGGGGAGAATACTGTGTTATTGTTTTTTTTTCTTTCTTTCTTCTTGTAGATTCATTGAAACCACAAATCTGCCCCTACTTTTGAGCTGGGAAAGTCTGGGGGGAGAGAGTTGCCCACTGCACTGCTGAGCCTTCTTGATTTTGTTGGTTTTAGCCTATACTGTCAATGACTACCACTGATGCATATATGCTAAAGAAAAGACATATATGCTAAATCTAAAAAGTCTGTCAAGAGTCTTGACCAGATTTGACCAGATAAACATTTTATTATTAAATCTGTTTCCGAATCACTTGATGCCTTTCAGTTTTACTACAGTCAGTCATTCTTCTCTAATGACAAAAAAATAAAATGTAAGTTAAAACAACATTTTCTGAGACTTCTTTTATGAAACAGCTTATATTTGTATACACTGTCATTTCCAAATAATGTTTAAACACACTGAAGATTAGACAGGCTGTCAATTCATAGGGATCAGCTGTTTACTCACAAAAGTCAGTATACCGAAGTATTTTTCTTGGCTTCTTTTTTCTTCCCAGAATAGTGGGAGGAAAACAGTATGTGAGAAGAGCAGTATGTCAGAATTCACAAATATACCCGTAATTACTACTTTTTAGATTTAGATTGACTCTCTCTACTTTATTACCGCGTGAGGTCACAATAGAGGATAATGAGCACATGAAGAATGTAGTATGTCTGGATTATATTACATACATTCATACTATATAGAACATATTTTTTAATGGTTGTGAAATTTAGTTTAAAAATAAAAAATATATATATTTTAAAATGTATTTATTAAATACTTAATTTTAAATGTAGAAATAAGTTCCTAATTAGAGAATGCATGTGCAATTTGACGTCTGTATAAATGGATACATTTTTTATTTTTGTTTGCATACATTTGCATATACTTTTTTGTGATGCAGTATTGCACTTAGTATTACAATTAGTATTACACTATAGAAATCCAATCTGTAAATCTGCTTTGAAACTATTTGTATTGTGAAATACGTTATCTAAATAACCCTGACTTGAAATCTGTCCAGGCAACATAAAAGACAATACGCAAATAAACAAAAAAAGGCCCCGCCTGCAAGTTAGGATGACGGGTGGGGATGAACATTGCGTTGATTTCCTGTACGCCATACTCACAAACTTTGCTCTGACTTCCTGTATGCCACCCTCCCTCTTTTAGATAGCAAGGAACTTTATGATTCACCAAAATGTTTATGCAAATAGAAGCCTTTTTGGGGACAGTTAAGGTTAATTTTTTTTGGCAGAATGATGACATCATTGCAGAACCCACAGAAGGTCAAATAAGTACAGAATGATGAGATACAGGATGATGTAATGGTCTCACACACGACATATACATTTGACAGCAGATATAATTGTTTCTCAGGCTTTTCTTTAC